CTATTTCTGTTACAGTGATGCAACTTAAAACAAGCAACATCCAGAAGTAAAACTAAGTTATTCACAATGTTATTCTTGATTTTCTAACTTTGTGTGAATTAAATGTAAATGAAGAAAAAAAAAAAAAAGTGAATAAATGAAAGAAAAACTCAGAAACTGACATCAATTTTTTACCTTTTTTAATGAACCCTGATTATTGTTTAATTACAAATGAAGATGAACAGATAGAAGAGAAACAGAAGTACAGGTGGTTCCTCCATGATAAAAACTAAAGTCTCTGTCCCTGCTCTGGAGTGACAGCTCACCACCGAGGTGGACATGAGAGGAGGGACAGAGACGACCAGAGAGAGGGCAGGGGGATGCATTTCAAATAATACAATGGCTAAACAGTACAATGCTCTTTTTTTCTTACAGAATCCTCCAAAATGGAAAAAAAATATATACACAACATCAAAAAATGAAAACAATTGTTTCTTTCTCCCACTGTATATCATGTGGGGATTATGTGACCCTCCTCTTGTCCATGGTAACATGGTTATAAAATCTGTGAGTGAAAAAAAAGATAAAAAAAAAAGAAAAAGAAAAGAAAACATTAACAGAAAAGGCTGCACTGAAGTTGAATAGTTATAGTTTATGGAGACGAGTGCAAACTAGAACAAAAACTCACAGAAAACCAGGAATTCATGGAGAAGAGGCTGGGCCATGGCAAGAGGGTACAAAATAATCAAAAATAGTCATGTTAATAATATAATAATTACAAGAGTAACAGTAATACGTCTGAAAACATACAGAAGAAAATGATAAGAACAGCATCAATGAAATCGAGGGGTGCAAATATCGGTGGGCAAATAGTTTAAACTATCCTGTGTTTTGTTTTTGAAGCCACGTTGGGTAAGGCAGCGTGGGTGTAACAGTTCACGTACAGCTCTATGTTTTTAAATCTTTCTTCACCAGACACTTGTCAACTGCTACTTCTGTCCTTAAACTTCACTGAAATATTACTGCTGGCACTTTTAGAAATCTCCACCTAAAGTAAGTGGGAGGTTTGACCACGTTTTTAAGAAAGGAGGAATGCTGATAATGTTAACAAGTATGTAGAAGGATAGACGTACAAGTTTCTTTGTGCCTGGGAAGAAAAATCATTTGGAAATGACAATGTGAGTCTTGAAGATTCAGACGTGAGACTGCAGCTGGTTCCACAATCTGGACACGATAGCTGGGACTAAATAACCCAGGGCTGAGACTCTTTGGAGGCTGCATTGAATAGCTTTGTGTGTGTGTGTGTTGATGGCATAACCATAGAAACCACTCATTCTCTCTCTCTCTCTCTCACTCACTCTCACTCTCACTCTCTCACACACACACACACACACACGCACACACAGCAGAGTGGGCGAGTCAGATTATGGGAAGTCCCTCTCTCTCCACTCCACTCTGAGGTTTTGTGATGCCATTTCCTCTGTGTGTGTGTGTGTGTAAATGTGTGTAAGTGTGTGTAAGAGTGTGTGTAGTTTGTATGGTTATGCCGTCTACACTCTCTCTCGAGAGAGAGACTGCAGGGGCGTCTGATGTCACATCTGATGTCATGTTTCCCTTTATTTTAGCCACAGTAAAGCCATGTCTCTAGCCAGGACTGTGTGTGTATATATGGGCAGGGTTCAGACCAGCCCATACACATGCGGTTCACACACAAAGCAGCTTGAACCCACAGTCCACAGTCAAACCAAAGTCTGGTCATATCATCTGTGTCGTCCAATCAGAATCAGAATCCAATCAGAATCAGTCTGCTCTGAACACATGAGTCTGTCACTCGCTCCCCGTTACAACCCGCGCCTCCGTGGGTTTTAATCAGATCTGGGTCAAACAGTGGCTGCAAATAATTCAGGAGTTTTAGTCCGAGGTGGGTGGGATTTACTAGGTGGGACAAAAATGAGGAGAGTCAAAATGTTTTACCTAACAATGAGTTTAAATTTACCTTTGTGTCCTGACTAGGTAAACCCCACCTGAGCTGCTACTCCAGGGATGTTAAAACAAACACACCCACTAAGAAGGTAAATATAATTTGACCTAGGCCTGGTTAAATGTTCTTGCTTGCTCATTTATCCTTGTCCCATCACACCCTCCGTCCCCTGAATACACAAAACTGTTTTTTATTTTAACAATATAAATATAAAACTCTGATGCTGGCGGCCTTTTGTCACTGCAGCTCAACGGTCAAGAGAAGGCAAGGGTGAGAAGGCAAAGGCTGAATTATACTGGTAATAATATGCCATTAGAATATATACATATCTTTACCATTAAAAATAGTAGGATTTTCCTGATTTGTATCAAATGACCATATTGAAATATAATATTTGAATTCAATATATATTTGAATAAAATATATATGTGTAGATTTACTTATTCTGTATCTCTCTTTTACAAAAGCAGAAGGCATGGTGGTACTGTACTGTGGTGATTTGTGTTGATGATGTGTGTGTGTGTGTACGTGTGTGTGTGTGTGTGTGTGTGTGTGTGTGTGTGTGATAAAATATTTTGCTGGGGGTACTTGATAAAACTCACATTGGCTTAAAAAAGGCACACTCTTATTTGGAATTGTTTGTTCATTAAAATGGGTCTTTTTCTTTTTTTAAACTATTTGAATAAAACGTCATAAAAATAAGTTGTTTCTCAATATCTCAGTGAAGGTTTTGCCTGAGTTAACCTTGATGCTCAACATTCATGACATGGTTCCCGTTCTGCTCTCGACAGATTTGAAATCGTCGCTTCTCAAAAAACATCACATGAACAGATTCGGCTATTATCTCCAAAAATACAGAAAGCCCTCAGATCACTGCAAATGCCCTAAAATACTGTCCGTGCCCTCGGGAGGCACAAGCGTACTCTGACAGAAAGAATACAGTCTTTAAAAAATAAACGGGGGGAATGCAGAAGAGAGCTGTTGATCTGAAAACTCCAAACACCTCCAGGATTGTGCGAAGTCACACAGGACACAAGAAAAGCGTTGACACCCTCTGTATCCTTGAGACTCTGGGTCCACGCACACATTCAGAAACAAGTGTGTCTTTAATTACAGCCTTTGCTTGTAGCTGCTTCCTTATTTCCTCCACAAATGAAGAACAAGAGACAGAAAGATCAGACGCTTTCTTTCCTCTCATGGTTTTTTCTGTACAGTGGGAACCGCGTCCATTCGCTGGCTAACAAACGTCTTAATGATGATGCTGTCTGTCCCTGTGACAGGTCAGAGGTCGAGAGGTCAAAGTCGGTTCATCAAAAATGCGCCTCTCCTCCTCAGGCTTTAGTTTGTCTGCCCTCAAGATGTACAAGTCTGTCCTCATTTCATGTCTTTATACACTGTAGTGAATGAGTGGAGGATGAAGAGACCACTCAGTCCGGCCACACTGAAGTCTGACAGCGTCCGAGCCGTTTCCTGGAGAACAGACTGTGATTGAAGAGTTCTTTCTAATCACCTCTTGAAAGGGAGAAAACCCTGTTTAGTCTGTAAGATCCATCGGTGCAAGGTCTCAGTTCTTTTTTTTGTTTTTTTATTTTATTTGTCTTGCTCACTGCCCTCCACCTTGTAAACGACTGCATGGTGATGGGTGCAGACAGAGGCACTTTTGTAATCTCTATCAGGGCTGTTAAAAGTGTTTTTTTTAGTAACATCAGGATCTGTTCGTCTGTTATGGTGAACACAAAAGGAGGGAAAAGGAAGAGAGGGAAGTTACGAAAAGGGGCTCAGCATCTTCAAATGAGCCAGACATGAGTGAAAAATTCATTCTATCTACTGCTGTACAATTCAGGCTGCCTCACCACTCTGTGAAAGAGGAGGATGTGATTCGTTTCACTGCACCAGACAAACAAACAGACCCATTAAATCCCATTAAAGACATAATCTGGGCACAGGTGTGATCCCTGACAGACTTACTGGCATAACTGGCACTATGAGGGCAAGGAGGCATAGAGAAGGCAGTGTGCAATTCCTAAGAGATATTAAAGAATAGGCTCCCTCTCTGTAGGGTGCTAAGTTTGAAACAGGACAGAAGTCAATATACAGACTAAAGTTTGGTTATCTCTTAGTGTTGTAAGTCACATCAGAAACTCTGCTGTGTTCTTGTTTTGATAAGGTACCAGGGACACAGAGGTGTCTTGCCTTGCAGTACATCAGAGGCTACACAGGCCATCTATGTTTTATGGTTTCACACAGATCATAACGCCCAGCAGCTACTTGCTAACAGCTCTGACGCATCAAAGCTACAGATCCTGCAAAAGCAGTGACAAAACCTGAAAGGTTAATAGATCAACACATTCATCTCGTTCTTTACTACCTTTCTAGGAAAAGATTGTGTCTCTGTTAAGTAATTTAAGGAGGCTGTGGAGCAGTGAGGTCAGTAAAAAGTGCCCAACAACTCCTTTAAAGTGATGGTTGGGGTTATTTGACGTGGGGTTGTGTGAGGTAGTCAGTGTGTTACCTGCAGTAGATTCAGATCAGCACGATGCCTGTTAGGAGAGACGGCAGGAGACACCGGGACACTAGCAGAGCCATGTGTTGCTGTGGGCGGGGCCAGCAGAAAAAACACGTTTTAGACACACCCACCCACCGGAACAATTCAATATCCATTTAAATGTGTGCTTCATATAGAATATTGTCAGTGCTTTATCTTTGCGGGAAAACAGCATTGGTTTTGTACTGTATTATGTTACAGCCACATGTCAGCTGCGTGAATCGGAAAGCAGCTTGATATAGTGCGTGCTGTAGGTGCGTTTGTGTGTAGGAATACAGTAATTTTCACAGGAAGATAAAGCACTGAAAATATTCACACATCTAAAAGGATATTGGATTGTTTCAGTGGGCGTCTTTTACAAGTGTCAGAAACATGTTTTTTTCAGGTGGCCCCGCCCACAGCAGCACATGGCTCTGCTAGTGTACCGTGTTCCCTGCTGCTCCTCCTAACAGGCAGCGTGCTGATCTGAATCTACTCCAGGTTATATACCGACTATGCATGACTACCTCACACAACCACACGTCAAGTAACCCCGACTATAATTTTAATTATTGCACAAAAAAACTGTTTCCTACATAGGATGAAAGTAAATGTTCAAATTTACACTGAAGAAAATGAACATGTGTTTATGTCAGAACCTTTCGGTTTTGTCTCCATGTTTGTGCTCGGTCAAGAACCCACGAGGCATCATGGTCTACATGAAACTATTACACTTGTTAACAAGACTCCCAAAGGTGTGTGTTTTGTATCTAAGCAGGATCCCCTGTGTGTGTGCGTGTGTGTGTGTGTGTGTGTGTGTGTGTGTGTGTGTGTGTGTGTGGCTCAGCAGCCAGTGTTTTCCAGAGACAGCTGTGCCGTGGCCCTCTGCAGCTCTGAGCTCGCTCTACGCTGGGTAGGAGGTGGTGGCAGCATCAACCCCAAAATAACACCTCCTCTTCCTCCCCCATTCTCCACCTCCCCTACTCTCCTCCCTGCCTCCTCTGTCTTCCCCTCCACCTCCTCCTCTCCCTCAGCCCTCACTTTTTTGTCCTCTGCCTCATCCCTCTCTCCATCCGCCTCCATCTTCTGGTCTTCGCTCCAGCGGCGTTTGAAGCGGAGTTTGAGCGGGATGCAGCGCGTGCCTCCGGGGCTGATGGGAGCTGCCTGACCCGGCTCGCTCTTCAGGCTGATCAGAGGAAAGGCCAGGCCGGCACTGCCAATGGGAGGAGTGGCGGGAGTTTTGAAGACCTCCTCATCGTCTTCAGCATCATCGTCATGGTTACTGTGTGGAGGAAGAGGAGCAGAGTGGCTGCTGCCGTTCCCATTAGCCTGGTGATGGTTGTTGAGCTGATGATGATGATGGTGATGACGAGCTGCCGGGGTGAAAATGTCACCTCTAGCATCCTCGTCGTTGTGATTCAGCTCATCTTCCTCACTGATGTCAGTCACCTCCACTTCTTCTTCTGACTCGATGTCTGATATTGGCTCCACCTGGAGAGGAAGAATATCATTCATGACTCATGCTCACAGGGTTTGAATCATACCTTAGTGGAAACACCACATCCTGTGTGGCGGCAGTCTTACCTTGATCTTTGGAGCCCCAGCAGCCAGGACAGAGTTGCTTGTCTGCCCAGACCCTGTGAATGAGGAGGACAGGCTGGAGGAAGAGGAGGAAGCAGAAGCGGCCAATGAGCTTCCTGATTCCCTCTGCTTGCGCCCGAGTGGAGGAGGTTGCAGCTTGAACTTGAACGGAGACGGGTGCTGTTGGCCGTCCTCCCCTGCTCCTGCATGCTGGCTGAGCGAATGAGAGAGCGGCAGGGGCGGAGCGTGGAGGTGATGGGTGGCCGGTTTCTCCAGGGTGGGGCGGTGGGGCTGAGGGATGACGATGTTGGGGTAGTGGAGGAAAGCTCGGGGGCTGAGGTGGTAGTTGTACACAGACTGGGTGTGGGCCTGCAGGTAGTGCTTCATATCCTCTGGGTTGAAGGAAAAGTGGGAGCCCATCATTGGAGAGGACAGGGAGGGGGAGGGTGTGTAGGGCAGGTGGGGGGTGGGGGTCATGGACAGGGCTGGGGATAGAGTTGGGGCCAGAAGACCTCCGGGACCAGGCAGAGGGGAGACGGGGAATGGGGACAGAGGCTCAGGGTGGACCCTGGGGGCAGGTCTGGGTAGCCCTGCTGGGTTCGGGGCCCCACCGTAGACCCTGAAGAGGGAATCATGAGGCAGGCGGGGAGGAAGCAGACCCCTGAAGGCCCTGTCAGGCCCCACGCCTCGCTCATCGGCCCCCACAGCCTCCTCCAGCTCTGAGTTGGTAGAGGTGCCATCACTGCAGTCGCTGACGGAGCCTCGAGCCATGCGCCGGGCCACGCTACTGAACATGCCTGGACTGCGCAGCTCCTCGCTGGATGAGAGGACCTCTGATGGCGTGGAGGGGGGGAAACGGAAGTGGGTGCCTCCGGTCGGCACTGGAGGGGCACTTTGAGGGACTCCTCGACCTGTGAGGAAGAAAAGTCAAAGTCAGATTTATTTGTCACTACCATAAGGGTGCAGGTCACATTTAAAAAAACAGAAGACATATTATATGTGTGACATGACACAAGAGAGCAGCATTTAAAACTTTGATAAGAGATAAAAAACATTTTTTGAATGATGTAATAGGTGTCCTTAATAAAGAGACAGTCACTGGACACTTAAAGTGCTTGTACATTCATTTTTTTCAGTCAAAATCAAAAACATGATGTTTAAATGGTCTGACCAAGAATGAGACAATGATGATATGGACATGATGATATGAAAATGGATAGACCTAAAATCTTAAACGAACATTTCACCTGAAAAAAACCCCCAAAAAACACTTTCTTCTAGTGGCATCTCTACCTGCAGATAGTTTTGTTTTATCTTATCAATCTAATCAGTTTCTGAGATTTCTGCCTCCAATGTAGTCCAATAGAGGCTCAATAGATCGGTTTTTGTGTGCTCAAAAATAACATTTAAAATATTCAATAGCAACATCTATGGTTCAGAATCAGTGTCCTTGCTACTCTGGATTATCCACACAACGTGCTGTTAACTATTTTTACAGGGACAATTTTTTCAGCCTGTGGATTAAGCAGAATAACAGGGCCATTGTTTCTGTGAGGGGCATCTTTCTGTTCATTTTTGTTTAGTCAGTTTTAAATGCTCCAAAGAAGTATGGACAAACACACGGACAACATGAAATCATAATGCTGTCGCCAGCGCGGAGACATAAAAACTAACTGCATGACTTGATACCACCCAAGCTAAGTGAGAAAATATGTTAGCTGTTTTTTTATTTGTAAATCTGGATGAACTAGGCCTATAAACTGAAGAGAAAGGGAAAAGTAACTAATGAGAGTAGGTCACATGTCTCCCATAACAAACTATTTTATCCAGAGGGTCACAGGCACACAGAAAGAAAACACTGGGTTACACAAAGCCACAAGTTCCCTTCTCTTTCAACCCCTCCCCCACCTCTCTCTCTCCTGCCAGGGAGACTGTGGCACTGCAATAAATTCTTGGCATCCATGCACGTGCCAGAATTAAATATTGGAAAAGTCGCTCTTACTGCCATCACAAACATGGGTTGGGTTCCTCTGTTTTTTCCAGTGCTGACGAGTGTGTGTGTGAGTGTGTGTGTGTATGTGTGTGTATGTCTCTCTCTCTCTCTCTTTTTAAAAAAAGCACACATCTCACAACCATGTGTGTCAAAGACAACGAGAGAGAGAGAGAAAAACTGTGTGTGTGTTTATGTAGTGTGTCTGTTTGTGAGTGTCTCTGCTTGCGCATAAATCCAGATTGACGTGGGCATGTGTGTGTGTGTAAAACCATCACATGAAACCATCATATCACAACATGTCAGTGTGTGGGCCACATCACACAGAGGCTATAATTAAAGTTTCGTGCTGCACTTATGTCACTCGTATCCAACGCTCCATATGGGCTGTGTTTACACTGGGTGGCCGAGACCAGAAAGAGAGACGACTTCAGAGGAGGGAGGAGAGGGATAAACTGGGACGTGGCACACTGATGTCTTAGAAAACACACACGCGCGTGCACGCACACACAACCCAGCCAGATACATGCACACGCACCCCACCCACATTCTATTGGTACATATGATTGTACTTCTATTAATGATATTTTTCACAAAAATTGAGATGAACTTGCAAATATGAGTTGATTATACTTAATGTACTATTTCGACTCAGACTCAGTTTGGCCACAAAACTGCTCCCCGTCTTTACCTATAGCATTTGTCTTTGGCAAGTGAATTAGTCACCCACCACACTGACTGGAAACCTTCTCAGACAATAACATTTGAACATTTCAGCAACACTTTTGTCTGCTCCAAAAGACAACAGAGAGTTCCCCAAGTTTAATTTAATACTTTTATAGACACTTTTAATACCACACAGAATGGAATTTAGAACCTGTTTCCATGGTAATTACATCTGCAATTTACTGACATGGTATGTGCCCAACCGAGAACTGAGATCTGCAGAAGGAGGCCTGTTATAACCTGTTGTAACTTTGTTAAGAAAAGTGCTATGCAAATAAAATGATCATTATTATTATTATTATTATTATAGTATGAAAGATATCAATGAAAACCAGTAGGGATGCATGCATGGACTTCCCAACAGGCTAGAACAATAACTCCTAAGAATATCCTCAAATACAGCCTGGATAAGCAGCAGAAAATGGATGGATGGATTAACTCTTTAAAATAAAAAACTGACTAACTAATTAACTTTCAAATTTAACATAAAGTCAGAGGTTTAGGACAACTATTGCCTTCAGCAGGCTAGAGCAACCTCTAAGACCTTTGTGAAACTTTTACAACATAAATGTACACTTTTTTATTTCATTTAAAAGGGCTTTTTCAAGGAAACTGAAATCATTGGTTTTTAAGCCTAAAACTTATGACTGGCTGTAATGCTACATAAAGTAAGTGTAGTGGCATCTAAACCTCTGTTCTTGGCTAACAAGTAAACAACATCAAAATGACAATAGGAACATCTACACCAGTTGTATTTACCAGTTATTTTGTCTGATTTAAATTATGCTTCACAGGTAATTTTTGTTACAGTTTTTAGAAGTCAGCAGCTGAACTATAAATTCAAGAAATTTAAAGACTGCACATACGAACACCTAAATCTCAGACACCTGAAGGACAATGTTTTTTTTGTCTGTCCCCGAGACAGAACGCTCCTCAAACATGGCTTTGCTGTTGAGTGCAATTCTGTTCTTTTCATCAGAAATAACTACAAGACAAGAGATATCACTGAGGCAGAAAAAGGAATAAACGGGTCAGACACAAGTTCAAAACTCGTATTTCCACAACTGGTGCTACAATACACTCACAATTTCTGCTTTTTAGAAATTTAAAAAACCTGGTCAAGTGTTTTATAAACCGTCACAACTCCATGTGAATTATAAAGTCCTCTTGAGACTCCTGACCTCTTCAGTGTCTACAGACATCTCGAGGATGTTTCAAATTGGCTTGTTGCCAGGGCACTTGGAAGGATTTAATCAAGTAAGTGTCACAAAAGAAACAGGCGCAACTACGTACCAGAGCCCATGTCGATGAAGGGGTAATTGACCAGCACTAGTTTGTTGAAGTTGAACTTGTAAGTGAATCTCTTCCCTTTGGTCTTATGGAGGATCCTCTTGTTGTAGTAGTATCTGAAAGAGAGCAGGACGTGGAGAATGTTATTTACCCTTTTCAATACTCAGCATATCATTGGCAACACGTGGTAAACCTCTGATTTTGTTTTAGCAGAAAATTTTAAGGGTAAAACTATGGACAAATACACTTACTGTGAACATTTTACCAGTTAATTTTACCTACATGCCATGGAAATGACTCACAGTTGCACAGCCAGTCAGTGATTATCCACAGTGCAACCAAAGTGATCAACAAATCACCATTACCTGTGGACCTGAATGAACTGCCAAATCCGGCTCATATGTGGAGATTTAGTAATCTTACTGACTGTCACAGCTTTTAGGGTCGTTGACATCAACAGCCGATCAAATCTGCACATTCTTGCAGCCCTACTGATGTAAAGTGATTACTATATGTGAACAGTTCTGCATTGCATAAGATGTAGATGAAATGAGAAGACAATCAAAGACATTATAGGGTCAACGGTCTTGAACACGTGGACGACAGCTGTGTTCAACACTAGGATTACCACCACCGACCTCACCAAGATTATTATGTTCAATGTTAGTGTATTAGTGTTTGCTAGAGACCTATCCCATATCAAAGCAGCAAAACAACTGGTACCTATAACTAGTTTATTAATTGGCTTGTTAACACTTTATAAATCATTTATAAGCTTTTATAACACATTACATAGACAGGACAACAGTGATCTGGTGCCTGCCAAATAGTGAGCCCAGATGTCTCTGTACTGTTAAGCCTCATATCGCACTTGTTACTGAGCTTTCTTTGTTTTCTCCATCACCATGTTTGTACCTGCTGCTTCATCATGTTTGTTCAGTTACTAACAATGAACCAGCATAAGCATTTTAATTGTCAAAATGTTTCATCTGTCCAATCAAATTATGGCAGATCACATGATTATATCAAATGATCAGACTCATCCTCTAAGGCCTTCCTCTCAGCAGCCGTCCTCATTATAATCACAGCTGTTGATCAGATTGTTCTGCACAGTGGAGATTAACATGGAGATGCTTTCTGCTGGTTGGTCTCTTCTTTAGGACTTTCCAGGTAGAACACAGGTGGGAACCTTCCTTTACCTGGTGAACTGCTCACCCATTCTTTGTCCCACTTTTTTTTTTATTTTTACTTTTATTGTAAAGTGTGAAAAACACCATTTATTAATGAGTTACGATAAGGCTCCTTTTACCAGTTATAAATGTTAACAGAATCAATAACTTAATCATAAACCATTTATTAATCCTTTGAGGGTAGTCTTATTGTAAAGTGGTACCAAACAATATGACACTGCAAAGACAAAAGTGAAACTTTAGAGACCACAATGTGGTTGTCCAACACTAACCCAGTGTACAGCACACAATTAAACAAGCTGTGCACAATGTGAACACACAGTTAGATTCAAACTCTCACTGTGATTACTTATGGAAGTGAGGCAGCCACTCTGACTTAGCCTTACCCAGACGGCTCCATTAGTACGAGTGCATTAGTCATCGTCAATACACAGAGAGATGTGGAAGAGTGAATAGGGAGCCGCTGACAGCTCATCTAAAAAGATGATAAAATGGCTCCTGGTGACTCACCGATAGCCTCAGGACCAAAACCACATTCATATTTCCTCACACAAAAACTTCTACATCAGTGTCTCTCATTCAATTGTCAGTGGCCACTTCATTCTGGGAAATGTAATGCGTTATTCATCATTCCCTGTAGAATTGAGAAAAGAGGAGCTCAGTGGATGGATTTCTACATAAAAAAATTTTCTTGAATAAAAAGTTGCATACAGCTCTCCTATTGTTAAGTTTTAATTGAGCTGCTCTCCAGCAGAAGAAAAGGCTGAAGGTTAAAATCAGAGCAGGAATACAGAGTTTTTCAGTTTCTTCCATCGATCAATTTTTCTTTATACATCTATCCATCTAACAAGATTAACAGTTTCATTTTGGCAACTTATTATTATATATTACTAATGTGCTGGTGAAACTTCAGAGATAAAAAAGTAATAATGAACAGCATTACATAACTGTGAGGTGACCAATGTTTAAACAAACACAATAACCCTGTATTAAAACCTACTATTTTTCCTCCAAGTGGAATAAAACCAATTTTAGGAACTATTTGCAAAATGCTATTTAACTCTTTGCTTTTCCTCACAGCTCCAAAATGATGCATGAAAATAGGAAACTGTGACCACAAAACTTTGAATTTTGTGCAACACTACAGCCCTGGACCATATTCAAGGTATAAATATAAAAATATTCTTTTCCTAAAAATCAGTGAAACCAGAAGTGACGGTTAAAAAACACTATAATCATGGATAAAATATTAGTCACAATGACAAAGCTGTATCCGTGCTCCAGTATGAACTGAGCATTAGTCACTGGGGTTTGGTATAATAGAGAACAAAGTAGAGCAGGAGTGTGTGAACCAGGAGCTCATCCAAGCCCTAAATGACTCAATGAGTGAAGGGCCTCTTCTGAATAGGCCAACTACTACGCACACCCACAGCATCACATGTAATACACACACACACACACACACACACACACACACACACAACAACACACAACACACACACACACACACACACACACACACACACACACACACACACACACACACACACACACACACACACACACGAGCAGGCAGGTATACTGCAGGCACACAGGCCCTGACATACAATGCAGAACATATGCAAGTAATAACTACAATCATCTCCTCGCAGTTGTATGACTGTGGTAACGATTTCTTCTTACATTTTATCCTGTAAGACGTTTGTTTAAAATGTGTCATAATTAGCGTATGAATTCTTAAGTCATAGCCAAGATATGTTTTATGTGGTGACAGTGACCTTTCATCTTTGACCACCATATTCTAATCAGTTCATCCTTGAGTCCCTCTTGAATATTTAGAGCTGCAGCGACAAATTGATTAGTTAAATTGACTGAAAATTTCTATTTGATAATTGATCACCAGCCACTATATCAATGCAGGTATTCTTATCACCAATCTTGTCATCATGGTAAAATGTGATCCTGGAAATACCTAATGTAGCGGGAACTACCACTGAGGTGGTTTTCGAGGTTTTGGCAGGTGTTAATCTGTCTGTCTGTGGACACATTGTGTCACCTGACAACCTGCAAGATACAGTCATGAAAGTTCACAGGTGTGTGGCTGACATGAATAGTCAACATTTTGACAGGTGTGGTGGCTGGCCCTTCGCAAGATGCTCTCTAGTTAATTGTTTTTCGCACTATTCCCAAGTTCCAGTTTATGATTTGTGTGGATTTTATTCTTTTCTGTTTTATATCAATGTAAACCAAATGCTTTGTTTTGTCCAAAAAATAGTCCAAAACATGACGATATTTAAAACGTCGTCATTGATTTCATTTTTCACTATTTGACAATTTATAGACGAAACTAAAAAAATAATCAGCAGATTAATTGATAATGAAAATGTGAAATTATTAAGGTCTTAACCTGTAAGAAGTACTTGAATTTTTGAGATAGTCTTAACTAATACATGCACTAACAAGTGAGCAGTTAAAACTCTAACAATGCTCTTTTTTTTTTTAAAGTTGTACTGTGTATTACATCTCAAACCTTAATATGCATTAAGATAAAGCAAAGGTCTGAGAGCTGCTTTAAAAGAAAATTATTTCCCTCTGAAATGTAGTTGACTTGAAGTATGAAAAACTCAAGCAAACAGCAGACACTTAAACTACACTTGAGAAGTTAGGAGAGATAAACATTATCAAGTACAGTTAATCTGGCATGCAAAAACAACAGAGAAATAAAAACATCACATATGACACACACACACGCACACACACAATCCCTGTTCAGACGTGTGGCTGGATGGATGGTACGTGATGTGGGAAAAGACCACGCACATACATGTGAAAGGAACACACACACGTTCAAACAGTGGTGAAGTCAATGTATGACAGCCAGTCTCACACACTGGGCCCAGGCTTCCTCGTGGCCTCCTGCTCTTTGAAGACCATTTGAACTTTCTTCAAATAAACTAGAAAGGACTTTGACTGTATAGACTCAACCTCTGTGTATTGAACACACACACAGATGTACGGGAAACACAAACTCACAGACACATACACACATACATGTCTCTACACACATGTACTGTATATGCATGAATGAACACACATGTGCACCAACGCACGCTCACTTCAAAGACGCTAAGAAGCATCAATCAAAGACTTCACATCTAACAGAGACAGAACTTCCCTCCAAAGACTTCACACTTAGTTAACAGCCCTTCAGTCCAATAAAAGGTTAAAAAACCACAGTAAAGTTTCACAATAAAGTTTGGCTCCAGCTGGTCCTTGATGTGAAACGCTCACTGTGACCAGAGAGAAAGCAACTGCTTCTGTAGCAACATCCACACTGATATAGTTTAGTTTTAAAACACATCACACCTGGAGTCCACGCTACTCTAGCGTCAACCTCGTCATCTCTGGTCTCACTTTTTGCTGTTAACCATTCGTAGTATTTTCTGTTTCCTGTTCACGCCGCCTCATACACGCCCGGTGAACATGAATGGTCATACGATAAGGGTTGTGCTGATCATCAGAATGATCGTCGATTGTTCATGCCTTTGCAAATGTCACGACAATATTTGACCTGTTTTCTCATTAATATAGTAACTTATTATTATTTGTAGTATTTAATTAGTATTAAATCTAATTCACCCTGTGACAGTTTCTCGTATATATAACCGCATATAACCATGCTTGCAACACGCGCACTCATACACTCTGATCAGCTGATATGGTCACTCCTTTCTCTCTCACACATAGCATAACGCAACACACCGTAACACAAGGCAACGCAATGTAGCATAACGCGGGGTACAGTACCCTGCCGATCATATCGGCTATTGACAATTTCACAGGGTGACAGACTATGGATACGATACCCGACACGTGATATGCATTTTAAATAAATGAGTTTGACTGCAAATTAGCTTCTATTTCTACCTGTGAAACTGTGTGTATCTGTATTGTTAAGTAAACTAGCAACTAAATAAAGAATGCCACAAAACCAATGTTTTACTTCAGATTTATAAATAACACTTTAAATTCACAATCACATGGATCAGAATGTGATTGTGAAGTGGTGTTCAAATATATTCCAATACATGTTCAGAGAAGGATTGGTGTCTGTAAATATGCAGTCATATGATGCTAAGTTGATAACAAAAAAAGGTTTAAGCAACAAACAAGACACAGATGGGCTGGAGGAGGGCTGACATATACCAAGGTGTTAAGTATGTGAGTGTGTACGTGGGTGTGTGTGTGTGCGTGCGTGTGTGTGTGTGGAGATGAGGCAGTGCAAGTACTCATCGCCGTGGCAAACTATAACCCACACCAACCTACAACACAGGAGGTGACACTGATGACTAGCCGTGTGTGCATGTGTGTGTTTGTGTACATGACGATGAGAGAACAGACTAGCAGCTAAATAAAACTCAGTGCAGTGTCCCACATGTGCTCTGCGGAGGGTGGAGGTGTGCGTTTCTAAATCTACTGGAGTTTTAACATGAGGCAGAGATGCACGATTCACAACTAAACACCAGTGGGGTTGGGCGGAGTCAAACAAAACGCCATAAGATGATGTCAGCAGTGAGACATGGTGAAAAAAGGTTAAAATTAGGAATGATTAGGAATTTAAGGTATTTAAAACATGCTTTCACTGGGTGGTAAATAGTGTGATTAAATAAGCCATTTTTCAATTAGTAAATCTGGCACAAAGAGCTATTTCATTAACTAGAACAAACCCATGCTTCATTTTTGTCTTTTGTCATCTTTGTCTGGCTTACACTTCTTCAAATACATGCAGTTCATCTGGAGTTCAAAACAAACAGGATTCTAGTGCCTGAAACTTAAGATTGACATGATGAACCCATCTGGGCTCTTTGCCATGATCTGATTCCTCTGATGTTGACACCTATTAGGAACACATGACCTGAATATGAAGCTGAATAGTAGACTAGCCTTACTAAGCACAGATAATACCTTTTAGACTGAGGAAAGAAAGGATGAAGAAAACCCCAGTGTTTGTTGCCAGTGTTAATATATCAAGTGTTATCCAACCAGGCTTTGTGGTCCTGTCCCAGACATGGGTTTAAATCAGGTCTAACACGGCTTGGCTTCGGTAGGAAAGGCATAACAACTTATATTGTGTATAAGTGGAAAAACTATTCTTAAGTTTATAAAAAGGTTCAATAAAGGCATGGTGTCAATGAGTGATCATGTTAAATAATTGTGATCAAAATAATTGTGATTATTATTTTTGCAAGCAGCCCAAGTTGGGGGTATGAATATGTGGACATGTTTTGCATTCATCCATGCTGACCCTTTCAGACTTGGGAAGATAATGAAATTGAAAATTAATTCATACCTTAAAATGATTGCAGTGAAATTTGTACTGCATTTACTCTTTAAAAAATCTAAAATATCCTAGGAGACATCAGCCACCATGTGTTATCAACACTAGGTGTGAGACTAAGGTTTAGACCCATGTCAAGTTGGAAGTTTTGGCTGGACACGTGTTCAGTCTGCTGTGTCAGGGTTTTAGCTTCTAAGACACAAATCATTAACTTTCAGATATAAACATTTATGTTCAGTGACATTGTTCTTATGGAGCAAATAACTAAGAATGTTTAAGGGGCAGATATAGTAAAAAAAAAAAGAGAAAAGATGTGAACGCTGTTCTGTTTAAACTACGTTAGGTGTCTGCTACCTTGTTTGTTGACACACAGTCTGCAGAGATTTATGTCACTCTAACCGTTACAACCTCATGAATTCGAAGAGTATAATATGGGCTTATTAGGCTTTGTTTCTTTCATTCTTCTTTCACTCTCTTTGTCTCACCTTAGTGCTCGGCTGAGCTTGTCGTAATTCATCTGTGGTTTACACTTCCTGGCCCCCCATAAGCGGGCCACCTCATCAGGGTCCTTGATGACAAACTCTCCATAGTCTCCCTGCCAGGCGATGACGTCGTGGTACTCCTCTTTCCTCAGCAGCTCCAGGATGAAGTGCCACAGCTGGATCTGCCTGGAGCCTGGACTCGATTCGGGCTTGTAAGCCCACTCCGGGAAGGCAAACCCTGTGGGAGGAGAGTGGTGTTCAGGTGGAGGTGAATTCAAAGAAAGGAAGGACACGACGAGGAAAAAGGTTGTTTTTTGTGTCTCTGGTGATAAACATTAAGCAAAAAAATGTGTGGAAAGAACAGCGTGAGTGAAGAAGTACAGAAACAATAGTGACTTTGTGGAGTGAAGCATTTTTGCAAGAATACGCAAAGACATGAAATTGCTGGAAGCCACAGAATCAGGGGTGAAACTGGATGAAATAGGTACATTGAAATTCAAAAAACACATTTGGATCTATAGCTTTCCTTCAAAGTGGATCTATTGGTTCCAGGAAAGCTGATGATGAGCATTTCAGCTAAATCTGTTCCCACAGACCGAAGTCATATCAAAACCTCACTGCTATCAGCATCAGAAGCTGGAAAATCAGCACTGTTATAACAGATTAACAGGCTTTGAGATATGAGCAGACAAAATATAAGCTATGGTTTTATAACCACCATCAGAGCACACATTCACACAGGCACACACACCATTATCCAACAGTTAAAAGTATAGGCTTTGTGTTGTAAAGCAGTGGGTGGCAGTAAAAGACTCAACACCACTTCAACACAAGGCCAGGCTGCATAGCAAAGGCATAGTGACACACACACACACACACACACACACACACACACACACACACCATCACTTATTTCTTACAACACACTACACACACTGGACACAACCAACACACACACACACACACACACACACACACACACACACACACACACACACACACACACACACACACACACCTCATTAGGACCAGATGTGTCTTGGCAATCAGGCTGAGAAAGCTGAGGATGGGAAACATATGGGCACAATATAACAATGCAGAATTTTGTGTGTGTGTGTTTATGTAACTGTAAAAGACACACACTATCCTAACTACCAAGGTTACAATCAGTTTCCCACACTCCATAAAGCCTGTCATATCTATATAGCAGTAGCAGTGAACTGTTAACAATATGTTCAAGGCTGACTGACTGTAACACTGGTGTGATGTGAGATCGATTACACTGCACCACATAATCATGCATAATATTAAAGCCATTGCATCATACTGTAAGTGATCAAGGTCTCGCAATACAAAAATACATACATCTAATGTATATGCAACCAATAGTCTGTCATATTAAACATGGAATTGTTTATTTTTTCAGTATTGTTGTTGCCTCGTCAATGTTTGATAGGAAACTGCTTTGGGGAAACTCCATAATGGCAGAGAACCACACATAAGAACAACCACATAAAAGAACATAAGGCCGGACGAAAGACAGATAAGACAAAGAAAAAAAGGAGTTGTAAAAGAGCTGGGGAGAAAAGAGGACACACCTGGCAACTAAATTCCAGAAGTAAACTGTATATGGATATAGTGCCCAGATGGTGATTAAATCAATTATGACTTTTCCATTTACACAGTATGTGCTTACTGGGATTAGAGTCATTTATGAAGACATTGGGAAACAGTAAAGTAAACTGAACAAAAATGGCAGGTGTGAGTTTATTTAAAATTATACAGTTTACCCGATATTTACTTTTCAACACAGTGAGATGGATTTTCTTACTTTCTAGTTTTTCTGTAGCTGCTTTCAGTGACTGTTTCACTGTGGATCAGTTAAAGGAGCGACAACTGGTGAAAACAGATCGTGCTCGAGTCTTTTTGTGAAGCTGAGTGGACCACAAGCTCCTCTGTGAGTCACGACATTCCTGCCCACATGGGCGGTTCTTTCTCAAAAAAAAAAAAAAAAAGAAAAAAGACCTGCATTTACAAATAGCTGACTCTGCTGATATCAATCGCAATGCCCTGATATGTTCAATCAAATCCTGACCAGAAAGACGTGTGTGTTTACAACCTGCCTAGAAATTGGCATGTGTTTCCTCTTATCCAGATACAGATCACATTTTAATAGCAGGTGTAAATGGAGTCACAATGAGTCATGGAAAAATGAACCACGTTGAACACGGCGAAACCAAAGTCCACCATTAGGTGTGCAGCTGTGTCTGCAAATGTCATTTATACATAGTAGTAGTAGTAGTAGTAGAGGAAGTAGAGGCAGAAGCAGCAGTAGATGTGGTAGTAATACATAACTGACTAAAAGTGGAAAAGTCTGACCACAACAAATGACACTTTGGAAACTAAGAGAAGAAGCCACAAATATTCACTTTGAAATGCTTCCACACTACAAGTGACTTAGCACTGATTTTGTTTAGTGCATGAAAAACTGTCCATACTGCCACTGGAGTGTAACTCCAAGTATTTCACAGGCACGTTGCCTCTGATATTGCTGCAAGCTCCCTTGTGATCAATGTCTGGCTAAATAAAGGAGACACTCACAAGTTGAGTAACTGTAGCAGTAATCTGCTTTCCCCTTTAGGATACATTTAAAAGCTTCAAGCTGTGATGTTTTGTTGTCCAACAGACACCAGATTTTGCAAGAATTCTGGTGGGGCAGAGTTGCATCCTTTCTGTCCTCAACCTTCTTTCCTTTTGTTTCAAATAATGATCCCTTCATTCATTTTGTGCCTTGTAATTCATGCAAATACTTCAAAGATATTCCCTTATTTAAAGGGTTCAACCTATATCAAACAATAAATGTGGAGTGTCCTAATTCTAATGTAACTCTTGATACAAGAACATAACGTAGCTAAATATGCTTTAACATAATTTATACATTTGTACACATAGGTGCATCTCTGCTGAGAAATATGTTTTGTGATGAGCCTGCAATAGAGACATTATGCTTGTTTAAACATCGGAATATCTATATCCGTCTTTGCTGTGTTTTAAAAGCATCCGTGACCCTGGGAGATTATCAGAAACAGACTAAACACTGATAATTAGAAATATAAGAAAGTGATGTGAGATGCTCACTCTCCAAATTACAACAGTTTCACAGACTAGCACTTCACTTTTTCTGAAGGCGGCAGCTAGCACACGCAAAAAATATCTTACAAAAGCCATATTAAGGAAGAGAAAAAAATATCCCAAAAAACAGGAGTTGCTCCTGGTGACTAATAAACCACATGCTGATATCTGATCTCCTATGGTGCTTGGAGATCGAGCCAACACACAGACAAGCTGGCTGTGACAGTTGATAATGGCCATTTGAAGGCAGATTACTAATAGGCATATGATTCATAGACATGACAATAAGGCTCTTGTCACTGGGGACAGGTTAGGCGTTGTGACCGAGACACAACGCACAGCTGTATAATGGGGTACACTGGTGATTGCTGCAGAAAAATACTCATGTGCACATGCAGTACACACATGCACAGACACGCACTGAGACACACAACACACAGAAGGAGTGTATTAACTCAAAGTGGGCGAGCTAATATCTCTCTCACACAGGAAGTACACAGACACACAACACAGGTTAGTGGGGAGAGGTAAGTGGGTTCATGCGTGGGTGCACAGAGCACACAGACAAAGAACACAGGAATAGCAACCATGCCCACCGCATGTGTGTGTTGCAGATGTCCCTGCTGACTCATATCTCGTTCATTTGTCGTTCAGCTTTCACAGATTCCGCCTTTCTCCCCCTCAACACCACTGCCATCGATGTCTTGCTTTCTTTTCTCTTTCATTCTGTCCCTCCCTCGCTCAGCCTCTCCTAAGACACAGTCTCCTAGCAACAAAAGCTTTTAGCTCTAAAAATAAATGGCCGAGTCACGACAAACAAGACAAAATATGATTCAATAACAGAAACTGGCCAAAAGAGTTCGGAGATTGGGCGCAGATCCAGGGACCTGCGATGTGAGTGTGTGATCTGTCTAACCAGCGGAGACCTCTCAGCTCACCGTCAGCTTCGCTGTCACACAGAGTTTACAATGGAAAAGGACTGTCCGATCCCTAGAGCACCGAAGCACCACGTTTCACTTCCACTATAGTCAATTCGATCTTAAAATACTGTACATTAACAATGTTTTGTCTCTGAACACAGACGAAGCACATTCATTCACATTCAGGGTGCTGTATCAGAGACACCACCTTGATAGCAAGACAGACGGGTACAGAAAGTCCGACAGCACAGCTGATCAGCTGATCGTGTGGCATTCTAGCAGACTGAGGGTCCAGTTGGAGGTGCATCTGCTACAGCTGGTGGTTAATGTAATGTGAGTAAAAACAGAGATTAACAGATAGTGGATGGCACAGGCAGAGCACTAGAGAGAGAGAGTGACAATGACAGTAAAGGACCAGGGGATGGTTGCACAAAACACCTGAAGTTAAGATTATCCTTCAAGCCTGAGTTACGGTCTCCTTAAAATAAAAACAGTTGCACAAAACAACCTTAAGTCTTCTCCTTAAATTTTTCCTTAAAATCTTCACTAAAGTATTTTAGGTTTTCTCCTTACCTTAGCCTTAAACCTTTAGAATCACTTAAAATAAATTGTTGCACAAAGGACCTTAGCGACCAACTTCACCATGGTGAAGTTCCCGTCAAAACAATGTGAGGATGAGGTAACAGGTATCAACAAGTGCTAATGGCAGCAAATCAACAATCTCCGTGGAAATTTTACAGCTGTAAAATCTCTTTCACTGCTGTAAATTTCTTTACTTTTAAAGACATTTTGTGCAACACCCTTAAGTAACTCCCTCAGCTAAGGAGAAATTAAACCTCGAGTGTCATACTTACAAACAGGAATTTAACATGGCATGGGAAGTAATTCAGTAACTATCTTTGTTAACCAAACTAAGACACAGTGGCCCAAATTCACTTTCAGGTAAAAGTCCTCCAGTATTGATGATTAGCCCACTTTTGATATGTTCATCTCTTTTTTTGGAAAACAACTTTCATTTTTACTAACACATGCGTGCAAGCTACAGGAACTTCACTAGTTGTGGCTGCTGTTCATTGTATATCTCTTAGACTCCTTTTTTACTCAATATGCCCAGTGTAGTGAACCTGAGATGCCCGGTTACATTATTATCTAATAACTGCAGGGACCAGCTGTGTAAACAATGGCA